CACCCTTGTATAACAACAAACAACAACAACAACAACATCAAGCCTTTGTCCCACTACGTGGGTACATGAATCATTTTTCACCACAAATTAGACGATGCTAACAAATGAATTTGACATCACCTAGATAGAGGGGGTGATGTAGAATTTAAGGATGTCAACAAACTCAACATATAACAATAGTCAAAGCTTGAGATTTAACATGTCCCAGTAGAAACAAAGCATGTTTTCAAAGAACAAGTTAGGAACTCATCCTCAAAAGATGTTGTTATTATCAAGGTTTCCAAATACTAAATCAGGGAACTTCAAGGTAGTTGACAAAATAATCGAACAGGTCTTCAAATGCCTTGGCACATATCTTGAACAAGGTCACCCACTCGAAGAGCAAAGGTAAAACTAGAGAAAGAGGAGAGCATGAAGAGAAACAAAGCCTAGGAAGAAAGGAGTGTGAAAGGAGCCTCAATGCTTTGTTAGAGTAGTTCAACTACCTTACATCATTTGTGGCATCAAATGAAAAGATTTACTAAGATTTAATTAATTATTTTTCTCATAATTACAAAATAATGTACTTGACATGTAGTTGACCAAATCCTAAAAATAACTACAAAGTATGTAATTTCAAAAATGATTATAAAGTAAAAGAATTGTAATCATGAATGTCACAGTAAAGAAAGAAAATACTGAGACAATTCCAAGTAAAAAAAAACAATTTGACTAGGAAGTGGTGAACATGCAATAAATGATAATAAAGTATTCGTTGTTGCACACAAAATAAAACAAAAAATAATCATATTGCAATTATATAACTGTTGCGGGCTAGAATATACGCGACGGTAGAATTTGTAATTTTACATCCAAGCGTTATACAATGTTCAACATATAAACAGAAAAGAAAGTGAACACCAGGATTTTTACGTGGAAAACTCTGAAAAGGGGAAAAACCACGGGGCCGCGCCTAGTTGAAAAATTCCACTAGTGTTGGCAATTATATAACTGTTGTGGGCTAGAATATACGCGACGGTAGAGTTTGTAATTTTACATCCAAGCGTTATACAATGTTCAGCATATAAACAGAAAAGAAAGTGAACACCAGGATTTTTACGTGGAAAACTCTGAAAAAGGGGAAAAACCACGGGGCCGCGCCTAGTTGAAAAATTCCACTAGTGTTGCGTAAATTACATTTTGCTTCAAAATAAGATAATTAATATTATATTTTATTACAAACTGAAACTCATTTCTGAGAGTAAATATAAAACAATGATAATCATTGAAGGCAACTTAAGATGACCATTATTTAACATCTCTTCTCAAGATTGGCAGTGCCATGAAAGAACCCAAAGACAAGCTCAATTTTGGTCTAGCATGAAATGGAGGCATGGTCGATTAGTTGTTGAAGAACAAACTCTCCTTTGAAAAGGAACTGGTTTGAGACAAGTCCACATACTTGCATATAGATATGACATCAACCTATAGCTTTTGGGTCTAATGATGAGGCTTGCTGGAGACCAAGGTTGTGAAAATCGGACCGGATAACAAATCGGAAGAGGGAGATGTTCACGGTAATATTATTAAAATTAATAAAATTAAAATAATATAATATAAGTAATGTGAGCATTTAATAATATTTATAAAAAATTCAAATATATAATAAAATTTTATACAAATAAATATGATTTAAGAATAATATATTTATTCTCAGAGAAAGAATAATATATTTATTCTTAGAGAAAGTTTTCCACCACATTAGGTACTAACTTGACCTTGGGGCTAAACCCCTATAAAAATCCACCAAAATGTTCGCTCATTGTTATACTCAGCGAAATAAGCATCAACTCGCTCACCTTCGACAACCCTGATGAGCTTGCCCTCCATTAGGTTCACCTATAATGGTCATCCATCCACCAAAGGACCCTTGGTTGGCATTCCTTGGAAGGAACAACCTCCTTTCAAGACTCACCAGGTTCCAACTTTACTTAATCAGCTACACAATCTTCTCCTCATACATTGTCTTTCATCATGTAGGCAACTATGAAGCTATTTGGGAGGAATTTTTATTACGTCCGGTGTCCGGACACCACGTCACCCAGATACACCCGGGGCCCAATGTATCCAGGTGACGTGACGCATATGGATTAATGTCTGAACGGTTCTATCACCGGACGTAATAATTACTCATTTGGGAGAGGCTAAATATTAAAAGTTGAAGAAGGGCGGTTCTTGACCATTAGATAAAGAGAATCAATAAAGATAGAGCTTGAATGAAAAAAGGCAACTCTAGCAATGAAGACCGTTAGTCCATATTTATAAATGCTTATAATGTTTGTTACGTCCTGGAGTATTCACGGCAATAAAGAAATATATAGCTTAACGTCTTAGCATTGTACGAAGATCCAGCACACAATCAGATAAGAGAGAGGGTGAAGCATTCATAAGAGACACCATAGTTGTTACGTTAAAACCCCTGAAAAGAGGGAAAAACCACGGGGCCTAGCCCAGTTTGAATGAATCCACTAGTATTTGCGGTCGATTACAAATAAGGCCCTTCCTTAGGAGAAGGCCTTGGCTTGGTGTCACACATCATATAGAGTGCATTATACGATGGCAATTACGATATAGATATGTTTGTTTGGTCGGCATGACCATAGTCGATAAGATAGAGGTTAGAAAGATTGTAGTAGGCAAGAGACCAAGTTTAGAAAGACCATTGTTTGGCGATGGAGGTCGAAAGGACCGTAGTAGGCGACGAAGGTTGGAAGGACCATAGTTGACAGGAGACTGAGGTCAGAAAGACTGTTGTCTTGTAATGGAGGTCGGAGTGACCATAGTAGGCGACAGAGGATGGAAGGACCATAGTCGGCAGGAGACCGGGGTCAGAAAGATTGTTGTCTGTTGATGGA